GCTAATATTTGTAGCAGCACATTTTCATGAGTGCTCACCCTAGTTATGGCTTTATGTGCTGCACACACCGGCCACTTAAGTTTTTGCAGTATGTTATAAATACAGATGTGAAGTTTATTGGTAAGATTTTTTGCTGTGTTACGTTACAGAACTGAGTCATTTCTGTACAGCAATTTTTGCCATATCCTGTACCACCTCAAGTATCTCTACATATTTTACAGAAACATGCTTAGCTTCTGAGATAATTATCCACCGGTTTCTTGAACGACTTATAATGTTCACATTTTCTTCATATCTTAAACAAGGAAATATGTTGTAATTTCTGCAAATCTAGCTTTGATGTCTTTAACAGATAAAATATCTCCCTCTTTAATACAACCATTTGTTGTATTTTTCTTCCCAATCCTAAAGGCACAACTTTCATAAGCATTAATATTGATGGTTTTAATGAAGATCACAAGGGAGGTTTGGATGAAACTACCCTTTGGCCAATTTGATTTCTACAGGAGTCCTGTAGCTCAGTGGTTAAAGCTCTCGCCTTACAAATGAGAAACCTGGGTTCTATTCCCGGAAGGGCGAAATGTTGGGCAAGTTTCCATACTCCACACACCTCTGTTTACCTAACAGTAAGTAGGAACCCGGTTGTTCGTCGATTGGTGGAACACTTTTCCGGGGGTAATAATTCCTTCAAAAAAATAATAATAATGAATTGGTCACTTCCAATTCATGACTGTTTGTGGGACACTACTGTGTGCAATTGGCTGCAGTGTTTCGCCTACAAAATATACATCAATTCACTTCACAGTATATTCTGTGAAGTGCTTTGAGATGTCTCAAAGACGTGATAAGACGCTATATCAAATGCAAGGATTATTATTATCATTAAAACAGACAGACAGGGCCTTGGTGTAATGTTTCATCTGCAGCACGTCACCCTGTACAATGCAGTGTATTGAATTGTAGTTGGTGATGTGCTTCAACACTGTATTGAAGACCGTGAGGCTGTGAGCACAAAGTCCTGACGTGGGGCTTGAACCCATAACCTTCTGACTCAGAAGAAGACTGCTACAAGTGAGCCATGCTGACACCTGGCTGAATTGAATGGGATAAACAAAGAGTACCTGAAAAACGAACTATTGAAAAATGTCAAAACAACTTTAAAACAGCTCTTGTTTGTATCACAGGGGAAATCAAAAGGTAGCTAAGAAACCAAAGATGCTGTGAAAAATGGTCAAAATAATGAGATGGTGAAGAAAATGTAAAGGACAAGGTGATGTTAAATACAAGGAATTGGATAAAGCTGTAAAGGAACTGAACATTAAAGGTGGATAATAATGACACTTGCACTTGACATAGTGCCTCGGGATATCGTCGCAACTTGCTTGCCAGGTTTACTGGAAAGTGTAGTGACTGTGTGTTTCGTCGGCAAAATACAGGATGGAAGGACTGAAGAATTGTGCCAGAAATAGGAGGATGAGATCGAAGATAAGTGGAAAATGCCACAGTCAGATTAGCTCAGGATGATAAAACAGGAAGAAGAATTCTGAACATTGAAGGCAGGAGGAGCTCCTACAATATTAAGGTGATATGCCTCTTGGGTCAATTTCACAAACCATAGTATATGCACAAGAGTAGCAACGACATCTATATGTTATTGTTTTTTATCAAAACAACCAATTGTTTTTTATAAACAACGGCAGTCCCAAAACAAGGCTCGTAGCTCTTACACTTAATGTGCTCCAACCCCATCGTATGCATTTAATGTGCACTAAAATCGACTTCGAAAATCCAGCAGATACTGCACTCTGTTTTTTCCCCCCCCCCCGTTCCGAGGAAACTTTCGACTTGGCTGAACATTGCTGGCCCTGCAATATGCAATGTGCATCCCTTCACCTTCAAGTTCAAGATAACGGGCAAACTTTGTTAAATATCTTTTTTTTAAAAAAAAGCGTAGAAGGGAAAAAAAAAGCCACTCTTTGTATTCCTGTGGAGGGATAATGATCTGCCCCTATCGAATGTGCGCCTTTCCCTTGTGGATCAAGTACCAAAACTGCACAGCTGTTGAGACTAAGAGGCATTTCAACTCAGGATACAGCTCAAACCTACGACCGCTTTGATATGAGATAACCGACCCCTTCGGGTAACAGATTTAACCAGAAGTGCCGCCTGGGTTTGAAGACCCCCTCCAGCAAAGCACGAGGTGCGCGAGTTCTGCTTTTGTGTTATTGACGATCACAACGAAGACGATTCATTTCATTTCACAGTAATCGCAGTGCGTTGCAGCACGAAATTTACGAGATTACACACCACACATACACACACACACACCAAATACAAGCGAGGAAGCGAAACGCTCTCTTTCTCTCTCTCTCTCTCTCTCACACACACACACACACACAATACGCGCATTGTGCTCATTGCACAGCACATCAGAAATCAAACCCTTTCGGAAAACCCCCCAGAACAACTTTGCTGTTCAGTTCATCAACTGAGTGAGTGAGTGAGTGCCTGGCTGTGTGAGTGAGTGAGAGAGTGAGTGTGTGAGTGAGTGAGAGCCTGGCTGTGTGAGTGAGTGAGTGAGTGAGTGAGAGCCTGGCTGTGTGAGTGAGTGAGTGAGTGAGTGAGTGAGTGAGTGAGAGCCTGGCTGTGTGAGTGAGTGAGAGAGTGAGTGTGTGAGTGAGTGAGAGCCTGGCTGTGTGAGTGAGTGAGTGAGAGAGAGAGAGAGAGAGAGAGAGAGAGAGAGAGCCTGGCTGTGTGAGTGAGTGAGAGAGTGAGTGTGTGAGTGAGTGAGAGCCTGGCTGTGTGAGTGAGTGAGTGAGTGAGTGAGTGAGTGAGTGAGTGTGTGTGTGTGTGAGTGAGTGAGTGAGTGAGTGTCTGGCTGTGTGAGTGAGTGAGTGAGTGAGTGAGAGAGTGTGTGAGTGAGTGAGTGAGTGAGTGAGTGAGAGAGAGAGAGCCTGGCTGTGTGAGTGAGTGAGTGAGTGAGTGAGTGAGTGAGTGAGTGAGTGAGTGAGTGAGTGAGTGAGTGAGTGAGTGAGTGAGTGAGTGAGTGAGTGAGTGAGAGAGAGAGAGAGAGAGAGAGAGAGCCTGGCTGTGTGAGTGAGTCTGGCTGTGTGAGTGAGTGTGTGAGTGAGTGAGTGAGTGAGTGAGTGAGTGAGTGAGTGAGTGAGAGCCTGGCTGTGTGAGAGAGTGAGTGAGTGAGTGAGTGAGTGAGTGAGTGAGTGAGTGAGTGAGTGAGTGAGAGAGAGCCTGGCTGTGTGAGAGAGTGAGTGAGTGAGTGAGTGAGTGAGTGAGTGAGTGAGTGAGTGAGTGAGTGAGTGAGTGAGTGAGTGAGTGAGTGAGTGAGTGCCTGGCTGTGTGAGTGAGTGAGTGAGAGAGTGAGTGAGAGCCTGGCTGTGTGAGAGAGTGAGTGAGTGAGTGAGAGAGAGCCTGGCTGTGTGAGAGAGTGAGTGAGTGAGTGAGTGAGTGAGTGAGTGCCTGGCTGTGTGAGAGAGTGAGTGAGTGAGAGAGAGCCTGGCTGTGTGAGAGAGTGAGAGAGTGAGTGAGAGAGAGCCTGGCTGTGTGAGAGAGTGAGAGAGTGAGTGAGTGAGTGAGTGAGAGAGAGCCTGGCTGTGTGAGTGAGTGAGAGAGTGTGAGAGAGTGAGAGCCTGGCTGTGTGAGTGAGAGAGTGAGTGAGAGCCTGGCTGTGTGAGTGAGTGAGTGAGTGAGTGAGTGAGTGAGTGAGTGAGTGAGTGAGTGAGTGAGTGAGTGAGTGAGTGAGTGAGTGAGTGAGTGAGTGAGTGAGTGAGTGAGTGAGTGAGTGAGTGAGTGAGTGAGTGAGTGAGTGAGTGAGTGAGTGAGTGAGTGAGTGAGTGAGTGAGTGAGAGCCTGGCTGTGTGAGTGAGTGAGTGAGTGAGTGAGTGAGTGAGTGAGTGAGTGAGAGAGTGAGAGCCTGGCTGTGTGAGTGAGTGAGTGAGTGAGTGAGTGAGTGAGTGAGTGAGTGAGTGAGTGAGAGAGTGAGAGCCTGGCTGTGTGAGTGAGTGAGTGAGTGAGTGAGTGAGTGAGTGAGTGAGAGAGTGAGAGCCTGGCTGTGTGAGTGAGAGAGTGAGTGAGAGCCTGGCTGTGTGAGTGAGTGAGTGAGAGAGTGAGTGTGTGAGTGAGTGAGAGCCTGGCTGTGTGAGTGAGAGAGTGAGTGAGAGCCTGGCTGTGTGAGTGAGTGAGTGAGTGAGTGAGTGAGTTTCTGAGGCCCGGATAGTCGAAGCCGAGCAACAGAAAGAGACTCGGGGCCCGGGGTGATCCAGACTTGGCTGATCTCTCTTAGTCCCTCCCTCCCTCCCTCTCTCTCTCTCTTTCTTTCTTTCTTTCTTTCGCTCTTGCATTACGATCTCGCTTTTCCTCCCTAAAACCGGGATAAAAAAACCCACAGACACAGACACAGACCGAAGTCTTCATCTAAACCTGATCCCAAAGCAAAGCGGCAACGTCTGACCTGCCAGAGAGTGTGGCTGAGTGAGCCAGTCAGCCCGGCTGGAGAGTGAGTGAGTGAGTGATGGAGTGAGTGAGTGAGTGAGTGAGTGAGTGAGTGATGGTGCCACTGTTTACTACAAGGTGGCAAAGCCACTCAGGGTAATGCCCCACTCCCCTGCCCCCCCCTCCCTGCCCCCTCTGCCCCCCCTCCCCCTGCCCCCTCTGCCCCTGCCCCCTCTGCCCCCCTCCCCTGCCCCTCTGCCCCCCTCCCCTCTGCCCCTCTGCCCCCCTCCCTCTGCCCCCCCCCCCTCCCCTGCCCCCTCTGCCCCTCCCCTGCCCCCTCTGCCCTCCCCTGCCCCCTCCCTGCCCCTCTGCCCCCTCTCCCCTGCCCCCCCCCCCCCCGGGTGGTCACAGTGTCACTCAGAGAGTCACTTTGTTCGCTGTGCCCATTCACAGCGCCTTGAACTTCCTTTCCAACCCCCCCCCCCACCCCCCAACCCTTTCCCTTCCCTCTCTCTCTCTCTCTCTTCCGCAAAAGCAACGCAAACGCAACGTACCTGGTGGTGGTGGTGATGGTGGGAGGTTGGTTGGTTGGTTGGGTGGTGGTGGGGGGGGGACTTCTGCTGCTGGTGGTGGTGCTGGTGCTGGTGGTGCTGCTGCTGGTGGGGCTTCTTGCGATCTGCGCCGATCCAAAGGCAGGAGGGGAGGGCGAGGTGTCGGTGGTGGTGGTTTGGGTTGGGGGGGAGGGGGGGTGGGGGGGGGGGTTGTGGGGGGGGGGGGGGGTTGTGGTGGGGGGGTAGAGAATAAAATAAAACTGCGGGGATTCCGAGCGCAAACACACAGACAAGTCACACAAGGGAAGGGAAGGGAAGCTGCTCCTCCTCCTCCTCCTCACTACACAACACCCCCCACCCTCACCGCCAGCCCCTGCCCTGCAATGCAATGCCCTGCACAGCCCCTGCCCTGCAATGCAATGCCCTGCACAGCCCCTGCCCTGCAATGCAATGCCCTGCACAGCCCCAGCACAGCACAGCACAGCCCGCGGGGCTCTCAACAACACGCCATCATCTGAGAAGCGGTTACAATCAGCACAGACGTGGGTTCCCAGCACCGACCATTCAACTCGGAGGGGAGATCTCCTCTCTCTCTCTCTCTCTCCCCTCCCCTCCCTCCCTCCCCCTCTCTCCCCCTCTCCCCAACCAACCAACCAACCAACAGCGGGAGTCAGCAAAACACCAACAAAACTCCAACCAGAGAGTGAGACAGACAGAGAGAGACACTGCAACTCCCACCCACTCACTCACCCACTCACTCACCCACTCACTCCGTCCGTAGGGATTAACAGTGGGTGGGTGTTGGTGATGGGGGGGAGAGAGAGAGAGAGAGAGGGGGGGGAGAGGGGGGGGGGGGGGAGATTGTACCTTTTCACCCTCCAGCAGAGGGTTTGGTTTGGTCGGAAAGGGAACGTCACCACAGCGGTGTATCGGAGTCGCTGCCCGGACGTCAGTCTGAATTACAGCAGAGATCTGAGCCCCCACTCAGCCCCCACTCCCTACAGGGGTACCCGCTCTGTTGGCTTACACACACCCCCACCCACCCCTGGGGGTGGGGGGGGGGAGAGCGATGGCATCTCCACCTTTAGGAGTGTTGCGCTAACGTATCGTTTTAAATAAATAGATAAAAATATAAAAATAAATTTTAAAAAAATAATAAAATAATAAATACATACTCACAATGTACAATTGAGCAGTTGTGATTGCAAAGCCACTCTCTCACTCTCACTCTCCCTCCCTCCCACACACACACTTATTTACTAAACAAGAGTTGTCATTCCCGTGCGGTCAACCTCTGGACCCTCTCTCCACCATCCCCACAATCTGACCCCCCCCCCCCCTCCCCCCCACCCCCACCCCACAATAATAATCCTTGCATTTGATAATAGCGCTTTTCGGGTCTTCTCGACGTCTCAAAGCGCTTCGCAGAATAGTCTGTAAAGTGAATTGACTATATTTTGTGGGAGCGAAACGCGGCAGCCAATTGCGCACAGCAATGTCCCACAAACAGCCGTGAATTGAAGTGACCAATTTACTACTGGTTTTTTTTTGAGGGAGTATTATCAGGCATGTGGAGTAAGAAAACTTGCCCAAGGTTTTGCTCTGCTGGGAATCGAACCCAGGTCTCCCGCTTGCAAAGCGAGTGCTCTAACCACTGAGCTACAGGACTCCACAAAGTACACAAAAAGAGGTAACTTGAGGTGTTTTCCCACCCCCCAAAATCAAGATTTTTTTAAAGTCAAATGGTTGAGCGAGAGCAGGTGGGGAACAGAAACATTGAGGGAACTTTGCCAATGGATCTTTTTGCAAATGATTCCTGGTTTCCTTGGTTAATCCTGATCAAGCTAAAGGGAATTGGTTTCTGGACCTATGGGAGGGAGGGTTCGATCGATCGATTGATTTTTCCGTGTTGGGAGTAAAACGGTGTGGGTGGGTTGGGGGACTATTTCATTAAACATATGTCCATTTCAGTCCTCAGATCAAGGCAGATATGCGTTAGCAGCCCCTGTTATGCACGACCCAGCACTTTCAGATGGGACTGAAATCTGAAAAATCTATGCGGATAATTGGATCGTGGCTCATCGATGATTGTTGATCTCCTCCCTCCCTCCCTCCCTCCCTATATAAAGACCCTCCTCCCTTTGTTTTTGAAAATAAATATATTTAGTATAACTGAAACCCCAAACAAAACACAACATCTTCTGTTACAATTTTTTTCCCCTTTTCTCCCAATACGAAACACATTCCGTTGGTTACGGTATATTCCTTCCCCGCAAGTAGTTTTTTTTTCAGACGCTCACTTTAAAGCAGTTGGGAGTTTCCCCTGTGTACACCGCATCCACGTGCATGTCCGCGCACACCCTGATAAGGCCGCTATCGGAAGGCGCCCCAATGTGCACTGTACGCGCACATGTTTACCGTATATACATTTTTGGGGTGCTCTTTGGTTACCCTCCTCCCCAGAAGTCAGCAAGCTGTTGGAAGTACACAGACAGCTTTTTTTTTAATGGGGTACATCCTCACAGCACAGGTACTTTCAGAAAATCTTGAACTCAAATGCAAGTTGGAAAATATCAAAAGATTATTTATTCCGGCTTCAAAACTGATTTTGTTTTGCAACATTGACCCAACCCCAACCCAACACTTGCAATGGAAAAGACAAGAAAGGGAAGAAAAGCTATTCTGTACTCAGTCACTGAAAGTAAATTAGGCTAAATGTTGCAATTAACTCACAGAAGGAAAGGCAGTACATCCTCCTGAACCTTCCTGAGCTGGAACTGATTTCACTTCACATGTAATGAACACTGTGAACAAGAGAGGATGTGAACACTCACAGTTTAAATTAATACAGAGCAAGGGCTGTGGAGGCAAAAAGAAACAGTATTCACTGTCTTTGCAGTCGTGGGTTATGCTTGATAAAAAGGCATTTTCGCCTACAAAATACACAGTTAATTCACTTTACAATATATTCTGTAACGCGCTTTGAGACGTCTCAACAACGTGATAAGGCACTATATCAAATGCAAGGATTATTATTATAAGTGCAGGGAGCTTTTTAATGATCTGAGATCAGCTATAATGTAACCCAAATGGCTTTTGCTGCATTGTTTGAATTAGTTAATATTTGTAACCATAAAAGCTAGATTTTGCAGTTAAATGAAGAGAATTGGGCTTTGAGAATCAGATCAACTTGTGCCTTGCTGGGCAATACATGTCACAGACACACAGAGTGTACTAGCGCTCGTATTTGTTTTCACAAAAAGGAAGGCAAAGCAGTTGAAATCAAGTTCACATTTGGTTTATATTCACTGCATATCACTGGTTAATTCATGGGTAAATAAACAAACACGTGCTCTGTATTTTCTTAATATTTTATTCCCTGCAATAATTGATTTGCCACAAAGTATTTCAAACTGCAATGAAAGAAGTGTTTTTCACAGTCATTTACAAATGTATGCAATGTGTACAGACCTTATCCGAACACATCTGTCATTGTATTGTAATTATATCGGGCTGTTCCGATATGTTCAACATTGAATTTTGCTGTACCACATAACTTAGATTGTTTGATTCCTGCTCAGTGTGAGATCTGGTTTTCCGAGTTAATTTATGCAACATGGATAATGGTTTCCATATATTAGGATCTTGAGATAATTTAATTTTTTTTAATTGCATGCAAGTACGCAGCAACAAAATATATTTAGTAACAAGATGGATAACCCGCCTTCTCTCACAATAACAGTCAATCCACTTTACAGTAAATCCTGTGAAAAAATGTTTCACGCACAAAATAACAGTCAATCCACTTTACAGTAAATCCTGTGAAGTGCTTTAACACATTTCAAAGGCATGGTGAGACGCTATATCATATGCAAGGATTATTCTTTCTTTGAATAGTATCATAGAATCTTTAATGTCCATCTGACCAGGCAGACAGGATTTTGGTTTCACATTTCATCCGAAGGATGGCAACTCTGACAATGCAGCTTTCCTCAGTATTGCACTCAAATATATGACGTTCACTGAATCTTATCTTGCTTTCAAAACAAAACCACAATTAACCTTCCACCAGCAACATTTTCATTGTCCAGTCATACCTCAAGGATAGTGAGGTCTGATTTCTTTTGCAAAATCATTTTTGTTCAACTTTACAACTAGCACCATGTATAACAGTATTGTATTCATTGCATATTCCAAGGAATGAGAAAAGTAATCAACATCATTCTGCTGTATAAAACCACCAGAGTCATCACTGCACCTTTTGAAAATAAACTATGTTAGCATAATAGAGAGAATTAAATGAAAAATGCTAACTGTTAGTACCTTGTGCATCAAGCCTTCAAGATTGCAGTTATTATCTCATTGTCATCCCTTGTTTCTGGACTGAAGCTGAAGAGATACATTTTCTGTTGCATTCAGAAAATAAATAGTGTTCTAAATATGTGTTATGGGCCAGATTTGAGAAGGTTTCCTAGTTAGGGATCCAGTTGCAAATACTATCACCACACCAAAACTACCAACAGTTCCACTGAAATTGAGCAGAACATTGATCAAAAGTAAAGGCTCTGTCCTTCTCCAAGACTCCCTACCCCCATCCCGCCCGGCCCACTCCTCCATCAGCGGTTGGGCATTCAGCCTTTCTACCCCCACCCTATAGAACTCCATCCCACATTCCCTTCGCCTCGCTCCCTCCCTTGCCTCCTTGAAGGCGTGTCTCAAAACCCTCCTCTTCAACCGAGCCTCCCCGATCCTGACCCCCAGCTCGGGTCCAAAAGATCCAAATCCCTGACTGTCCAGCGCCTTGTGATGTCCTCCTGACACGAAAGGCGCTATACAAATGTAATTTTGTATTGTATTCCTCCCTCATGAGTTTTCACGCAAAAAGATAGAGTTGTACACTTTTGCTTCTAAATCTATTACAAAGATTCAACTACCCATGACAAGCTCTTAATTTGTTGTATGTTTAGCTCAATACAGTTCTGTTAATACAGCGCCAGCAAGTTTACCAGCAACTTTTTGGGGTATTAACCCTGTC